CCCTGGCAGGGGTCAGTGCCAGGTTGTGTGGGGCGTGGGGCAACCTATTCTGGTGGAGGGTGTCCCTGCCCATGGCAGGGGTGGGAATGGACTCAAACCAGTCTGTGATTCTATGACTCTGTGATTCTAATGTTCGCTCGGGCCCATGTCCCCAGCTGGGCTGCCCATGCTGCCGGGCTGGCCCAGGAGCCTGCTGCAGAGCTGAGACCTTTCTTCCCTTCCTGCCAGCAAGCCTGGAAACCCTGGTGTGATGGGCTGCCCTCGAGCTTTCCATGGCCACAACCCCGTGGGGAGGTTGAGGTCTGGGTGGGTGCCCTGGGTGAGAGGATTTGGAACCACACCCCCAAAGTCAGCCTTCGGACACAGCCCCCGTTAGTGCTGGTCCAGACATGCCGCTGTGGCAGGGACTGTACCCCAACAGTCTCCGTGCCCTCAGGGGGTTTATCCATCCCATCCCCGTCTGCCGTGGGAGCTCAGCAAGCTCTCAGCCCTGTCACTGTTGCAGAATTTGGGTTGAAATAGGCTCATGAGCATGTTGCCCATGCCAGTGAAGGTGACAAGTCAGAAGGAGCTGCAGTGCCAGGGAGAAGTCCGAGCCCGGCCTCGGCAATGCGATGCGTTTCCTTGTTGGTGCATGGTTCTTCTGTTAGCCTGAGCAGAAGGTCTTGGTTTCCCTGTACTCTGGGACTAGAGATGTCAATGCTGTCCTGTGACCTGAGGGCAGACCACAATGCGTGCCCCGGCGTGGAGCTTCCTTGCTTATTGCGCTGCTTCTCTCTTCCAGGCCGTGTAGCTGCGCTGAACATGCTGGCCCACGGCATGGAGATCAGCACAGTCCCGTACTTATGGACTGCTATGTTCGGGAAGAGCATCCGATATGCAGGTAAGGGGCTCCCCGAGGCTGCTGGTGGACGTGTCCTGGGGCAGAGAAGCCACAGCCACCTCCCTTGCTGTGGACCCTCCGTGCCAACCTCTGCCTCGGGTCTGCTCCCCTTCCTGGCTCCTGAGGGGTTTGGTATCTTCTCCGAAACCGTCTGCTCATGGCCACAGGGTGCAGGGGTGGATGGCTGTGGTCACGAGGGATGGCCCAGTGTGAACAGTCTCCCTGAACTTGCATGTGTCCGAACAAGAAGGGGTGGGTTTTGGTACCCTCATCTTTGGGTGCTGGTCTCTGGGTGACTGCAGGATGCTCTTTGTGTAGCTCTGGGTTGAAACGCTGTGTCTGAGGCACTAGAGCTGGATCCAGGGGAACCGTTGCTGAATCGACTGCTTCTCCTCTGCCTTCCAGGCCATGGGGAAGGATTCGATGATGTTGTCATTCAGGGAGATTTAGATGAACTGAAGTTTGTGGCATTTTATACCAAGTAAGTATTTCTCTTCTCCACGTTCCTACACAGGCATTCGTCTAAGCTTGTTCTGTAGGGCTGGAAAATATTTTTGCCAGAGCTTCTGTCAGTCAATTTTATTCCTCTTTGGACACTGAGCTTGCAGGACATTAATAAAAGGCCTTGGAGAAATGATGTGCTAAGCACATAGCAAGTTAAACTGGTCTTTGGACCTAATGTCTCTGCCAGATGTAAGCACTTTGTTCACATAATATCTGAGAGCAGATAATGGCTTCTATTAATTTGTTGCTGGCAATTCCCATCAAAAATTTCCTTCCCATGCCATCACTGTGTTAATGATTTGTGACCAAGGCTGGACCGCGAGCTCAGGCATCACCATTTCTGTTTCTGGTTTGACAAATTAAGCTCAAAAAACCCTCTTCTGTCTATTAACAACCTGTGAAGGTTAGCAAGAGTCCAGGAGCTTTCATTACATCTGTAGGTAAACTCAGCTCTCTCCCAGGTCTACCTGGGAATATTTTCCTGAGATGTGTTGACAGCTGGGACGTGTTGCCTCTGCTGTTCTTGAGCCACACTGGTTGTTTAGACTGGCAAGACCGTGCACCATGAATTTATCCCCAACATATTTGCTGCTGTTCAGTCTTTTGTTGCCGTTGTCCCATCCCAATCTGCAATAAATGGCCACAGAACCTCCTCATGCCTGGAGACAGAGGGGATTTCTTCAAGTGCTTTCTAATACTAAGGATGGGAAGAGTGAAACCAGGGCAGCGAACATCTGTCCGGCTCAGCCTGGGCAGCAGGTTCGGGCAGGGATCGGGGGGAGCTCTGGGCAGGATCCAGCTCCTGCTCTGCAGGGATTGTCTCACCAGGGCTCGCTGCCCCCCAGCCCAACGTCCCTCATGGCCTCCCCTCCGCATCCCCCTGGCCGCTTGCCCCCATCGCTCCAGGATGGAGCCTGGCACTTGGATGTGCCCGTGGGGCGTGGAGAGGCGCAGGGCTCACCTCAGCACCCTGTGGCACGAGCCAGCCGGGTCCCCAGCACTCAGCCTCCATCTCCTGGTGCCTGTGCACCTCAGATAAAAACCTGCTGCAGGCGATGGGCCTCCAGCATCCGCCGGCACCCAGGGGCCCTCTGCATGTGGTCATCTCTGAGCTCGCTGTCACCTGGGCCAAAATGGCCTAAAAGGGTGGGTTCGTGCCAAGGCAGCACCTGCGCTGGGGAGAGCTGCTGCAAGGGGACGTTCCCCTCCCACGGCCACACCACGGGGCTGTCACTGCCCACCCTCTCGATGTTTCGAAGTGCATTCAGATCACGTAACTGTCAAAGCAGCATTTTAAGACACACGATTTGCTCAGTGAGTGTGAGCCAGGGGAAGATACAAACCCATTTTCGGCAGTTTTGCTGCGGTGGTTGCAGAGTTGTGTGTACTTTTGCCGCTGCATCCCCTGTAAAGCTGCTCCGCAGCCATTGCTTTGCCCTGTCTGGGGTCCCCTGCCCTCGCTGGCGGTCCCCTGTGTGCAGCAAAGGCAGCGTTATGGGGCCGGGCATCCACCAGCCGCACTGGCGCACATTTATTTTCAGCATATAATCTTCTTTGAAACCTCTATTCCTCCTTCCATACCAGAGCATTTAGCTATTTATCCCAAACCCAATTAGAAAGGAAATGTCAGATGGCTTGAATTAAACATCTGTAGAACCCCTTCAAAAGGAAAGCCCCGAGCAAGGTGCATAATCCCGGCTCTGCACACCAGCCCCGTGCTCAGCGTGCCGCTGCCGGCTGCCGGGGGGTGAGGGCTGCCCGGGCAGACCTGCTGGCACGCAGCAAAGCTGGGCTCGGTGAGCAGCAGCTCCTTGGTGGGGGTCCGCTGCTGAGCCCTGTGTTGTTCTGCCACCCAGGAGGGGCTCCCGGAGATGGCTTCTGGGTACCAAGATGGCATCCCACGCTGAGAGCCGGAGGTACTGGGGG